TACACATGTTTTCCGTAGTTCTCAGACGTTGCACGTAGCACGAGAATCAGATTTAAGCAACTACCGCATTCTAATCGTACGAGTGCTTTTTTTGCGCATAGCTTCGATCGTATTAGTTCGAACGGAGGATCGTCTACCTGGAAGTACAGGATGATGGTCCATATCAGGCCGAGCACCACCGGCGGTCGTCCGTCGACCAAGTCGGACGAGTTGATGTTCACCAGTTTAATCTGCAACGGAATTACACCGCGGCGTTATCGGAGACTCGTGGAACGTCGGAACTGTCCAACGGTGAAAATAAATGGGAACGAGTAAATTGAATTCTTCAAAAAGTTTCGAAATGAAACGGAGATTTCACGGAACCAGGGAATTTTTAATGAAACAACTCGCGAATGAATTGACCTCGGGAGATTTATAGTCTATCGGTGACTGCTCGTTTTGCAGTGACTATCGCAGGAAATTCACTTTGTAGTCATTGGTCGTTTCTGTAGAATTATGGAACTTCAAGTTTAAATGGAATCACAGTTTCAGTAGGACTATAACAGTGTAACCCTGGATTTACGGAACAATTTCATACCGAATTCTCGAAATATTATTTACCAGTTTAAGTTTACTTTCATTCGCGCGATTGTGCGAAGACACGTTGCAATACTGCAATTCTGAAGCTGCAATTTTCGCGATCAATCTAAATAAACGCTCATTCTAGAAACAATATAACAGTGTAGAATAAACGTCCGTAAATCCAGCGTTAAGTAGATCCTCCGAAGTCTAAGGTTAAAGTTTCGGTAGAACTAGAAATTTCGAGATCGGCTAAAATTCCTGTAACACCCGGAATCGATTATCTTGAAGGTGAGACTGTCGGAATTTCGAATTCTGTTCCGAAAGGCTAGAGGGTGCGATCGAAGGTTTATCGAAGCCAGGCGTTCACCTTCTTGCTCTGCAGGAACTGCAGCGCGGTATTGGCGTTGCTAAGAAAGTGCGGTCTCTTCAAGTTACGGCCCCGTTCCACCGGCTGCGAACAGAAACGCGTTTCGTCGTGTGAGAGCAATCCTATCGATCAGAATTATACGAGCCGCAGCTGTCGCGGGGACTCACCAGCTTCTCGCCGGATAGCACTTCGAGCAGCGCGAGTAGGCGGGTGCCATCTTTAAGATCCTCGATCAAGTCCTCGACGCGGCACGGCGGTATTCGCTGGAAATAAATGTCGTTATGGGAACACAGGCTCCGCAGAATCAGATCCTTCGAACGTTTCCCGGAACAGGTATATCCGTTCGGCCTTCTTCGTTTTCCCCGAGCGTTGTGTAACATTAGAAACAATCGAGTCGCTCGATTAACAGCCGACGCTGTTAAGTCGATGTTTCGATATTGTCGGATTTTTTTCGATCTTGACGCATTACGTACCGGCTAATTTTCAGAGAACTGAATTTTGATGGCGATTTTCAGCGAGAACAACTATATCGTTATATATATAAAAACTCAAATATTATATTGCTATGCGATATATTTCAAATAGATAATCAGCTCGAATCAAATGTAATATTTTTTCGAATGCTGCGGTGATAAGGAAAGTTGTTCGTGTAAAAACGAGATTTCTCGTTGCCAGTATGCAATGTGTTAACGGAACGAATAATATTCTTTTCAGTTATTAACCTATTGCGCTGGGATTTCATTCGGAGATTGGGCGAAGTCTTGCGCGTAAAGGTTTATTAATAATTTTGTGTAGGGTGATACGGTTTAGAAGAGCTTAGTAATTGCTTGGCAATTATTTTTTTGCCACTTATTCCCCGAATATTCCAAGTTAAAGTTGGCTCGGTATTTATATCGGAAAGTGAATCTCCTGTTTTCTATGAAAGAAAGATCAAGATCTATTTCCGACCGCGGCGTGCAAGAATATCAAGAATACACGCTGCAGAAGAAGATGAAGTCATCGCGACAGGTTAGCGTCGGGTTACATCGGTAGATCGTCGGCGAAGTTTATTCCGATGCAATTTTTAAAATCGCGACAACTCACCGGGCTCCGTAGAATCCGAGATGGTTTCCGCGCGGTTGAAAGTAAGCGAAGTGGTGAGTCGTTTGTAACGATGCTCCGCGAAACTGAATATCATTTCTTTTGGGACAGTACCTTGGAACTGACTCTCAGCTTTGAAAATTCAGTCTTTCGTTTACTCGTTTATTCAATTTCTCTCGCGATGCCTTCATTTTCATGTGTTACTATTACTTTTCGATCTGTCAAAAGACATTCTTTTAGTCTAGAATCTTTCCCGTATCATTTCAATAAAGATAAACGTTATAACTATTCTACTTCACTCGAAATTTTCCCATTGAAAGAATGTCCATTCATTAAACATTAAGCAAGCTATTAAACACTTCTAACAAATAGAGCCTTAGAACCGTATTCTGCAAAAATTCAGAAACTTCCATCTATCAATTCAATCAAGACAAAGATTAAATCTATCCTACTTCACTCTACATTCCTCGACCAGAAGGATTCCCATTCATTAACCCTTTACGGACGAATCTTTAAAATATACAAACCTTCATGAGATGAAGCTAAATTATACGTCAATCGCTTAGATAACAGAAACAGCAGAAATTACCTGCTGATCCCTCGCTGTTTGACTAATTAAATCATCTGTTTGCGACTTAGTCTTCGAAATATGAAAATTTCATTCTCCCGGCACGTCGATATTCGTCCGCAAAGGGTTAAGAGGTCAAGTAACGTATCAAATCCTTCCGCCAGACAGAACCGCACGACTATATTCTGGAAAAAATCCGCGTTATCGACGCTCCTTTGTTCCGAGGTTGACTCGACGCTCCTTTGTTCCCGATGACGGGATCCTTTCGAAGCCGGAAAGCTTCCTGCCGCGAACTTCGGGCCACGGTTCTGGCCTGCTCACCGGCGAGACAGGGTTGAACGCAATGTCGTGCCCGCTTCTGGGGCATGCATGTCGCGAGGAAGTGGGCTGGGATTTCTAATTCAAGTTTCGAAGTATCCGGAAGTGCGGAAGAAGGGGAGGCAGTATCGAGACTCGCGAGCCAGGCACGAGTTATCCCAGCGAACTTCTGATATTCGTGATGAGGAGTAATTTCACCGATGCCTTATTACATGGGAGCTGCCATGGAAAAATCGCCGGGACGCGTTGCGCGCAGGAGAAAATATTTGTTCACGTGATCATCGAGGACTGGCTCCCCGAACGGCAATCAACGACACGAAGAATCCCGGCGCTTTCTTCGTCCGCGCGGTTCATCTCGGGTCACTGACTTCCGGGGAAATGCTTCCTCGGAATATCTTAAAGGAGCCACTCACCTTCGAGAGATAGGAGTTGATCCAGTTCACGAAAGTCTTCTTCTGTACTCGTTCTTGTTCGTCTGGAACAGAGGAATATCGTGTTTGTCACAGATATCTTTGGAAATCGTTACATTTCGGTAATTTTATTTAAATAGAATATTGCTGGCAATTCTACTGAACTAGGTGTCTTAATCTGTTCCACGCGGTACACCTGATCCTCGATTCACGCGAAAATCAAGTAGATAGAACAACTATTTCGCATGGCTTAACGAAAGAAATAATAATGACATTTTAGAAGACAAAAGTATATTTTCGCGCGTAAAAACTACCGCGTAAACAGTGTTCCAATTCACCGCGTAAAAAAGAGGCTCCCAAAAGCCTTAGGATCATCTTGAACACTAACCCCGTCAGCACGAGACATGATTCTACAGTATCGTGTGGCGTATTGCATTATTATTATTCGCAAAGTTTATTATTTCGATTTTCTTCTCCTCGCGAGGTTATTTTTCGCAGAATCATTTGATGTCGGTCTTAAGGTTCTTCCGCGAAGATAAATGTTCATCGAAATTTCCATTTTGATTTATTAACGCTAGAACTACCGAGCGAGACTGAGCTGTTTATAATTTATGGAAATTAGGAGAGCGGCTTTCCTGAGAATCGAAGAGCCTCCTATTGCTGTACTTGTATAAAGGCAGGCGTTTGTTTTGAAGTTTCTTACGAAAGCATCTTTATCATCTTAATAATGGTGGAATAATAATCTGGGCTCGGCCATCTTGAGGCGTCTGGTAGTTCCACTGTTAAATTGAGTGCAGAGTTCAGGCTTCCGAGCTTAATTATATTCATAACGTAGTATTACCCGATTTCAGAGTTTCTTCTTTCAAAATGCTTCTCATTTTTATTCTCCGTTGCTGCGCGTAATCTTAGACGTTTCTTGGTAATCATCCAGGATAAGAATTAGCGAATTACCACGACGGCTCGAGAAGAGCTGGGAATATTCGAGATTTGTGGAACGACGAAAGTGAAACGACTATTCTCTATGTCTGAAAAAAATCCCGCGTGTGTTCGCCGCCATTAATCTTCGAAACGTGCCGAACCTCAAGGTTGCCATGCCGGATAACATCGTCGCGAATCAGCCTCGCGGTGTCGCCGGAGATAAATTGAAAGATTTCTTTTACGTAAGAAACTCGCGCCACCGCGGAACAGAAAAAATATATTTTTCAGTTTCGAAACGCAGTCCTATTCTCCGATCCCACTCGTAAACATCGTTAACTTGTTCCAGCGGGAAACAAAAATGATTCATGAATAATAAGTATCCTCTCTTGTGTTATTCAAAACAGACGTTCGGTGTGTTCGAGGCTCGCGAAATACATGAATCGACGAGTAAGACGATTGTAAATATATTAGGATCGATGCAAATGAGTATGCAAATTACTATACGAATTATCCCGTCGCGTTCATTCAGACGCGAATCGAAATTCGTAAATCCGTCGTATCTAAGAATAATCCTGACACGATTCGCGGTGGTATCGAAACGAAAAAATCAGCTCGAACGCACGATAATGCGTGCGGCTAGGGAGTAAACGATTCAGTCTTGACTTACATTACGTCATCGTTGAATTGCGTAGCCGCGACGTCTCGACGCGTTGCGCGAGGAGGAACGGAGAACGTCGGAAACGATTGTAGATCGGACGGTCGTCGAATTCGCGAGCGACCCGGCGAACGCGTCGAATTCGGAACATTGAAAATGCGCGATGAAACGATCATCTGCGAGTGGTTGACAGTGTTCAGCCTTTGCGGCTGAAGGTATGTTGAAATTTTCGTATTTGTGTTAGATTGAACCGGGGCGAATCGCATCGAGGTCTCTTTGATACTAAAGAAATGAGAACACTGGAATGTTAAATACTATATGAATTTTTTATTTCGAATGAAATAGTGGTAGTATACTATTTTTATATGGAAATATAGATAGAGATATAGATAGAGATATAGATAGAAATATAGATAGAGATATAGATAGAAATAGACTGAAAGCAAAGCTACACGACCGTCCATCAAAGTAATATTCCCTCAAATATCAAAGTAATAATACTAATTACTAAAACTGATCAAATCTAGGAACAGAGTTCTGAAATCTTCGTTTAGTTAACAAGAAGGAAGAAACGAGAGACAAATCCTACGATACAATGAACGTGGACTGAATTCTTGTTTCGATCCGATTCGCTTCGGTCTACCCTACCAGGTTGCAAACAAATGGTTCAATTACTCAAACAGTAAGAGACCGGTGCACGGTTTCCTTCTCTTTCTATTATTCCAACGTTTGATATATAATTGAGCTCGATCCGCCGAAGGTTTCGCTCGGTTTAAAAAGTCCTCGGCCGCGAAGGGTTAATACATCAACGCGACGTGGCTGGAAACCAGTTTCGCGCATTGTAAATTTCGCTATTAAGCCGACTTTATCGCCGGTAAACCGTAACGCGGACTATTAAAGCATCCATCCCAGATGTCTCGTTCGATTTTCCGGGAACGATCCCGCGAACCATATGATTTCTATTCGATTTCATCACTCCGCCATTCTCGACAGTTAAATCTGCGGAAGACGAGGAACCGCGTCGCATGCCATTCCTGCATTTCTCTTGGCCTCCGGCTCATGACGGGGAGCACTGGACGTTTATGGAAATTCATATTTCTGTGGACTAATGGAGGAAAGGCGGGGGATATTATTAGAACGAGGCTGCGCTTCGCGATTGCGCCGGTTCGTTTAGATCGTAAGTCATCAATCCTGCGGGCTGAGCTTTTGGAAACGTTCCTTGAATCAATATTTCTTTAACGGTTATTTCTATAACAATTATTTCTCTGTTCTTGATTGTTGCTCTAGCACTAAAACTGCCGGACAGCTCAAAATCACCCATGCCCGATTTCTTCGTCTTGCTATTATTAAAGACAACAGATGTTTCCCTTGAATTTATTCAAGATATTGATGCGGCAACACGCAAACTGAATTGTTCCAGTTCTAGAATTTTCTTCGATGTACGAGACGCAAGATAGCGGAGCAATTATTATCAACAATATTCGCTTTGTATTTTCTGCTCAATTAAGAACATTCGACTGTTCAAAAGCTTCGAGAGTCTTGTCATTCAAAGAGTCAATAATTACTTCTAACTACTTGTTCATCCTCGATTGTTCCCTTAATCGGCATTTCTAAGAACCTACCAACCTATGTGATAAAACAACTGTCAAGTTCAGATTGGCAACTGCCAATCCAATACCGAATGAACTCCACGTCCACTCGAAACACATTTTCCACGAACGATCGAACGATCTTCCGGAACGCTTCCCGATGCTTTCGCCACCGAAAGAAAGAACTGCTCGGTTACCGCTCGGTTCCCCTCGGCTTCCAGTGTACGCCGCGGTCGAAGCCGAAGAAAGCCGCGTGCAGCGTTCCGCAAATTTATGCACCCCGGTTCCCCGAAACGAAAAAGCGCGAACGTCGTCCGGTAATTACAGCTCGCCTCTCTCTTACGAAAAGGCGTCGGTTCCGCCATCGGCCGAAGGGTATCGTCGCGATCCCCCTTCCCGAGGTGGATTGTAAATTACGCGTTTTTATGGGATGCGTGACGGTTTTTACGGGATTTCGGCAACGGCGCCGCGATGCGACGGGTTTGATAAAAGCGAAAGGGAAAAGTTACGGGGCCGGGCGTCAATTAAACGCCGCCGCGACGCGTGTGCGCGGGCTACAAGGAAACGTGCGCCCGTTTATTCCGTACGCGCGCGCGTCGTTCGAATGCGCGACACGTCGAGGCGTGTTACGATGCGTGCATCGCTGCGCGGAGTGCATCTCGGTGTTTCGCACCTTTCGCTGGCTGTTATCGTTCGCAGATTCGACGGATCGGTAGCTTATGGCGAATTCAGCCTGTCGGCTGCGTGGGATTCGAAGGTTTTCGCGAGAATAAGCACCGATGTATTTGTGTTTTTATTTAAATGGACTGTAACCGACTAGGATTAAGCTAAACTATGTATCTTAATCTATTCTATGCAATATCAAATGTCCTGCTCCTCTCAACTCGCGAAACTGCACTGTTCTAACCCTTTGAACTCTAGGCTCCAATAGTGCACCGGTTATAATATTAAATATCTTAATGAATCTTAAAGAAACTACCCTAAAATTATTAGATTCTCCACACATCCAAATTTTGCATTGAGAAGGAAAATAAAAGATCGAAGAAATGTTATAGCATTTCTAATTTTCGCTATGGATACTATAAAAACTAGTTGCGGTTGCTGATAGATTACAAAACAACCTGGAGTGCTAAGGGCTAAAAAGGTCTTGCAATCATCTTCGGTTATCTATGGTTACGAACCATTGGCGACCACTGTTCCTAAACCACCATGAAACCACGGGAAACTGAAACCCGTCGCGACGTGTCCCAACGCGCGCAGGAGCCTTCAAACACGCGTCACGTCGCGGCTCCGCGTTCGTCGACGCAGGATGTATGTTCGAACACAATAGAGAGAAATTTATGATAATTGCTACAGTCGCCATTTCGGGAAACTGTGGAGGGTCCGGGCGGTAAGGATTATTAGTCGGAAAGCTGTGTATCTTGTAGAGTTGAGTAGAATCTCGGCGTGTCTGATCTCGACCATCTTATTCCACTTTATATACAGTGGGCACTTAAAAATAATCGGTCTCGTTCAAATAGTTCTATAAACTGTTCCATAGATTATGAGATAATATATTACGATTGAAAAATGTCTATCGATCGTTTGTTATTGTATTCCATTCGCATTGTTCCGTTCAAGGCAAAAGATGCAAACGCAAATGCACCTTAGAATTCCTATGCAAGTATCAACCCTTTGCGAACGAGTGTCGACATTTCAGCGAGATGAAGTTTTCACATTTGCAACGCTAAATAACAAATGATTTAAGTACCCAAACAGCAAGAAATCAGCACGAAGTTTCCTGTTTTTATCATTTAACGCTAGAACTACCAGTCAAAATGACTGGTTTCGATTTTTTTGTTTAGCTATTATTGATATCTTCGAAGCATTGAATATTCGAAATGATTTTTAAAATAAATAGTTC